TGTAGGAGAGGCGGACGTTTGGCTATTGGCGCAACGGGTGCTGAGCCACGCGACCCCTGCCCTCCCCTCCCATCCCGCGGTCGCCAGTGGAGGGTAGGAGGGATGCTCCATAGTCATGGGTGACCGTACGCCCCTTCTTCCCTCCCTCCCTCCCTTAGTGTCGTTGCAATAGGGCAAGGGGAGGGGACACTCGCGCTGTTGCAAGGCGGGACTTTTAATGAAGCGTGAGCGGGAGGGAGGAAGGGAGGGGAAGCGAGATGACAGTATGATTTGTCATTTCGGGAACAGGATAGAAGGCGGGCAGAGGTGAAGGTCAGTAGGCCGTCCTGCAGGACCACTCGGCGCCCTGTATGATACAAGCTTCGTGTTACCATTCATTACGTATTTTACTCCATCTGGTGAGTTTTATTGCTCGTAACTGGGCCTTCCTGGCCCCACCACGACCTGGGGGAAGGTCTTAAATTACCAACAACCAGAACCAATAGTGGACGACCAAAATGAAGTCTTGGAGTTTACGTTGATGAGGGAGTATTGCAAGTGACCGCAGCGGTGCCATAACCCGGCCATCCGCACCCGCAGGCACGGTTCATTGCGGCTGCCCTGTCCCTCTTGCGGTCACACGCGATGTGCAAAATGGCCGGCGGGGCAGCTCGACGGAGGCCTATATAGCTATCCAACTGTCTGATTTACTGTCCTGCCCGCCTCATGTCCTCCCCCCCCATCTCTCTCTCTCTCTCTCTCTCTCTCTCTCTCTCTCTCTCATCAACATCGCAGTCATACATGTGTACGTATTTCATTATGCCTTCACCATTTGCATATACTGTACGTCCGTGTGTCCGTAGTTGTCATACCATGATTTACGGCCCATCGTCCACTTCAACAACTACATCAAAAAGACCACATTTCACTTAATTTGTCACACACACACACACACACACACACACACACACACACACATAAAAATAAACAATTAATAATAAATAAATAAATAGCCACATCCATCTCAACATCCACGAGTCATAATCCAACACCATCATCCACATTTCTGAACTTGGTTGTGTTTATCCGTCCACCAAAGAAGCCATATTGTATGACGGGTGATTATGTCTTGATTAAGCCTCTCGGGATGGCTGTATCTATGTCTGTCCTGCTGGTGTTATGTTAAGTGTCTTCCACTGTGACGTTTATGTTAAAAGGAATAATGAGTTTGTAACGAGGATGGTCGACTCCCACCAGTTTACTGCTTTCTCTCCTGCCTCTCCCCTTCCCCATCCTCCCTCTCTTCTTTCTCTTCTATCTCCTTTCTCCTTCTCTCTTCTCTTTGTCTCGTCTTCTGTCGTTCATTTTACCACTTTCTCTGCTCCTTCATTTTTATTTAATTCTTTCGTCCCCTTTCACTCCTCCTTTCCTCCTCTCCACCATCACCACCCCCTTCCTCCTCCCTTCCCTTCCTCCTCCCTTCCCTCCCCCACCCCCTCCTCCTCCCTCCCACCCTCCTCCTCCCTTCCCCACCCCCCTCCTCCTCCCTTCCCCCCCCCTCCTCCTCCTTCCCCCACCCCCCTCCTCCTGCCTTCCCCCACCCCCTCCTCTCCTCCCTTCCCCACCCCTCTCCTCCTCCCATCACCACCCCCCTCCTCCTCCTCCCTCACCCACCCCCCCTCCTCCTCCTCCCTCCACCCACCCCCCTCCCTCCTCCCTTCCCCACCCCTTCCTCCTCCCTCCCTTCCCCACCCCCCTCCTCCCTCCTCCTCCCCCCACCCCCTCCTCCCTCCTCCCCTTTCCCCCCTCCTCCTTCCCCACCCCTCCCTCCCTCCCTTCCCCACCCTCCCTCCTCCTCCCTTCCCCACCCCTCCTCCTTCCCCCCCCCTCCTCCCCCCTTCCCCCCCCACCCCCTCCTCCCTCCCTTCCCCACCCCTCCTCCTCCCTTCCCCCACCCCTCCTCCCTCCCTCCCTCCTCCCTCCCCACCCCCTCCCTCCTCCCTTCCCCACCCTCCTCCTCCCATCACCCCCTCCTCCTCCTCCCTTCCCCACCCCCGAGACTTTATTTACCTATCCCTTAATAAAGTCAATGTGTGTAATACATGGGGAAGAGGTACACCTTTATGCTTCAAGTAACCTGAAGTACTGTACTCTGGGTGTACTGGAGGAAGGAACGAGATACTCTTTTGTACTCTGGGTGTACTGGAGGAACAAGGGCAGGAAGGGGGGTAGCGGGAGGAGGAGCATTTTGCACCCCGGTTGTCCTTGTGAGGGAGGAACCCGCCTTCAAATGGGTGCATGGGGAAGAGGGGGTGGGGAGAGGATGGGTTGATGGAGGGAAAGGGGTCGACCAAACCAAGGGGAGGGGGTTTTGTAAACATTTATCTGTGCCCTGGGTTGTGAAAATGACGACCCATTCGTGGTTGGACCTTTCTGGTTTCATCTGAGCGTGCACACCACAAAGTTGCCCTAATTGTGTGTCCTGTTTCTCCCCACCCACCCACCTAACTATCCACCCACCCCCACCCACCCACCCACCACCCACCCACCCACCCACCCACCCACCCACCCATCCCTAGGAAAGTCGCCCCACAGACTAAAGAAAATAATCCTCGCCGTAATTTCTTCCTTAAAACCTTTCCCTCCTTCTCTCCCCCCTCCCCCCCCTCCCTTCTCCCCTTTCTCCTTCTCGCCCCTTCTCCCCCCCCATCGAAAATTTGGAAGTTTATGGAGGGCAAGACAACGAGGTATGTTAAGACTGACTCGATAACCCAAGACCTCTGCATAACAACACCTCTACCAGACCTCCCCATAACGGACACCATTACTAGACCTCTCATAACGGACATCACCATTAGACCTCCCCATAACGGACACCACCACTAGACTTCCTCATAACGGACACTCCCACTAGACCTCCCCATAACGGACACCATTACTAGACCTCCTCATAACGGACATCACCATTAGACCTCCCCATAACGGACACTCCCACTAGACCTCCTCATAACGGACACTCCCACTAGACCTCCTCATAACGGACACCACCACTATACCTCTCTATAACGGACACTCCCACTAGACCTCCTCATAACGGACACCACCACTATACCTCTCTATAACGGACATCCCCAAGACCAGAATGAGACAGCCACCACCAGCCACCAACCACAAATACTCCCATAAAGGTGGTCAATTTTTTTTATTACCTCTGCAAGTTTGCAACGTAGAATGAGAGGTGGGTGAAAAGGGTATATAGGCTGTGTGTGTAATAATAATAATAATTATAATAATAATAATAATAATAATAATAATAATAATAATAATAATAATATAACGGTTTATTAATAGAGTTGCAGCCGGTGGCTGAAAATATACAAACTTACATTTGATTTAGACATAATGATATGCGTTGAATACATTTACAGGGCTGTACAGTACATAAATCAGGAGTTGTTTATTATTTTAAACGATGGGATGGTGCTATTCTTATGTCTATCAGTGCGGGCTCTTATGGGCTGAATTTTGTTGTAGTGGCGGACTGCGTGAGGTGGGCGGGGGACTGGTGACGTATACGTTAGTTTGGGGAGAATAAAGGTGTTGTAGATCAGGGGTGTCAAACTTATGGCCCGCGGGCCAAATGTGGTCCTTTGGGATGGTCAGGTGTGGCCCGCGGGATGACGGTAAAATTTATCATCCCGTGAAATTATGAAAAAAACAATTGATATAATCATGTTTATTTAGTAAAATGAATCTTACATACTTAAGACTCGACAAACCCAAATGAGGTATTCCTGGTAAGCCAGGTAAGGCAATGTGTGAAGCTGTAAACTTCAATCCTGCAAATATGTGATATAGCGCTTGTGTTGACCCTGAAGAGGGTAACTAAAATAAGAATTGGCCCTCGAAAGGTTTTGAGTTTGACATCACTGTTGTACTGTAGATGGTCCTCAGCTCTGGCGTGGGTGCCCCAAGTGACCCCGAGTCGTCGTAGCATGTAGAGTCGGTAGGAGGCTGCCTTGATTGTGTTGTTTACATGGGCCTTCCAGCCCAGTTTGTGGTCTATGGTAACACCCAGGAGAGTGTGTGTGTGTGTGCGCGTGTGTGCCAGGTCAGGGTGTACGAGGGACCATGATACACACACACGTGAGGGGAGTGTTGGCACCAGACCAGCTTATTGACGTATCACAGCATGATACGTCCCCATAAGAAACATTACCCCACTACTATTCCTTACACACGTGGGGGTTGACAGTCCTTTATATAACCCTTTGAGGTATCGTTGGTGTATGTATACTCTGTTGGTACATGTATAGCTCCCTCTTTCTTCCTCCTTACTTTTCTCTCTCTCCTCACATCCTGTTCCCCAATTCTCCTTCTCCCTCCCTCCCTCCCTATCTCACCTCTCCATTTTCCTGATCCCTACTCCTCTCCCCACATTTCCTCCCCTTCCTCATGCTTCCTCTCCCTTCCTCTTCTCCCTTCCTCCTCACCTCCCTCTCCATTCCTACATCATATATATCTACGATCCACCTTAAATATCTCCCTTAAAGACCAGACCGTAGTTGCTATACCACATGTTAACAACACCTTTGTCCCCTGCTGTATTGACCACTGGTGACGCCCCCCTGGTTGCTGTCACGCCCATAGTGTTTCTTTCTTCAGCACTAATAATGGCTTAGGCCTAGATCGTGGGGCCTATCTTTCTTTTTTTGTGAGAGCAATTTTTTTTCTCTTAAAGTATTATATTTAGGTGCGTTATATGGTGTTACAGATCATTAATGAATAACTCCCAGGTAACGTGTTTACTAAGGTGTGTTACCTAATGTTTACAGACTTCCAGGTAAAAAATATTTAATAAGTTGTGTTCTGTAGTGTAACTATTTTGTTTGACTAAGTTGTGTTCCGTAGTGTTAGAGGTTGCCAAGTAACTATTTTCCTTGACTAAGTTGTGTTCCGTAGTGTTAGAGGTTGCCAAGTAACTATTTTCCTTGACTAAGTTGTGTTCCATGGTGTTTCAGGTTTGGCTGGGTCCGGGATGAGCAGTAGTTACGCGGCTCAGCAGCACTACTGTCTGCGGTGGAACAATCACCAGCACAACCTCCTGGGCGTGCTCGAGACAGTGCTAACCTCACAACAGTATGCAGACGTCTCCATATTCTGTGAAGGTAAGTCCCATACACCTGTCTGTGTCTTCCTCACACACACACACACACACACACACACACACACACACACACACACACACACACACACACACACACACACACACACACACACACCTGTCCTCCTAATCAACATTTATCTCCCTCACTGTCTTCCCTGACCCCTCACTGCCTACATCTACCCTCACACCTTCCTCCCACTCTCCTTCCAACCTCACAAAAATGTCTTTTTATATTAGACAAGGAAGAGTATGGATTCTGTACAGTGTGTTGTGTAGTGTTGTCTTGTATGTTGTTGTGTGGTCGCGTATGGTGTTGTGTGGTCGTGTATGGTGTTGTGTGGTCGTGTATGGTGTTGTGTGGTCGTGTATGGTGTTGTGTGGTCGTGTATGGTGTTGTGCGTTCAGAAGATAAAGTCCCCGTGATGCTGATGTATTCACCAGTTCCCAAGATGAGGTGAATGATGTGACGGCCCTGTGTCTGACTGTGTGTGTGTCATTGTTTCACCTTGCGTCATATGACAGTCATGCTTCTCTCTCGCGTCCGTAAATGAGTAATGCATGGTGCTTCCGTTGTGTGTGTAGCATTTTTCTCCGTTTATTCCCCATTTTTTCCCTTTGTACCTCAAAACATTCTTCCTCCTTCCTTTTACCCTTGTCATCCACTTACTCTTCTCACCTCCATCTTCTCTTCTCCGCCTCTTCCCTCCTCCTCCCCACGGCCCCCACACGGCGTCACCCTTGTGTGCCTTCACCATCACAACAATGGGAGAAGCCTGCGACACCAGCAAGCTGTGGGCGGCATACACACGACTCATATATGGGAATGCATCTCTCTACCCAGCCGATCCTCGTCTACCAGGGCTCCAGATTCCCAAAGATTCGTAAGTTTATTTAATCTTTCTCCCTCTTTCTCCCCCTCTTTCTCTTTCCTATCTATCTCTTCCTCCTCCTCCTCCTCTTCTTCCTCCTCCTCCTCCTCCTCCCGTAATTGCAGATAAGGAGAACGATCTAGTTATGGTAAATTCTCACAACGGGTCAGTTTTGTTGTCATTTTTTTACCTCTGTCTGGACGACCCGGATTTAATGAGTCACGTAGATTATTTTCTCGCGTCTCCTGTTATGGCAGAGGTGATGGGAGGCATTTTCAACTTTGGGGTTTATGGGAATCCCGGACCTTACCCCTTACTCCCCCTCTCCTTCACCTTCTTCCTCCAACCCTGCCTCGCCCCCTCTCACCGTCCCTCGCCCCCTTGACCTTCCTTGCCCTTCCTCGCCCTTGGTCCGCGACTGTTGGCTTTTATCACCGCTTGTTGGAAAGTTGTAAAAGCGAGGAGGAGGTAGATTGACTCTTGGCAGAGAAAGCTGTCGGGTTCCTTTGTGCTGGTGTGTGTGTGTGTGTGTGTGTGTGTGTGTGTGTGTGTGTGTGTGTGTGTGTGTGTGTGTGTGTGTGTGTGTGTGTGTGTGTGTGTGTGTGTGTGTGTGTGTGTGTGTGTGTGTGTGTGTGTGTGTGTGTGTGTGTGTGTGTGTGTGTGTGTGTGTGTGTGTGTGTGTGTGTGTGTGTGTGTGTGTGTGTGTGTGTGTGTGTGTGTGTGTGTGTGTGTGTGTGTGTGTGTGTGTGTGTGTGTGTGTGTGCTAACCAAGGAGGTTGTCCTCTCGTCAGATATCCCATTATTCCTCCCTAATGCTTTATATGACTCATACACTCGGTATCCTCAGGCCATGTCCTTCGGGTGCACAAACTGGTGCTGCTGGCATCCTCGGCCCACTTCGAGAGGATCCTGCAGGCGTCCCCGGAAGGTCAACAGCCGATCATCATCATGGACGGGACGCGGTATGCTGACCTGCGGGCTCTCGTCGACTACATGTACCGCGGTGAAGTTAACATCGAGCAAGACCAACTCTCTTCCTTACTTAAGACCGCAGAGACGCTGAAGGTAAGAGACTCCTGTTATTAACCATTTCATTACGATGACTTAACCCCATGAGTACGATGACTTAACCCCATGAGTACAATGACTTAACCCCATGAGTACAATGATTTAACCCCATGATTACGATGACTTAACCCCATGAGTACAATGACTTAACCCTTTGATTACAATGACCTAGTTCTTTGGATAAGATGATGCTATTGAGTTGAAGGGATTACGTTATCGTCCTCAAGGAGTTAAGTGAACATGAGTGTGAAGGTGATCATCATTTCCTGTCTTATATTGTTTAGTTACAACACTTAACATGTGGTGGTATAGTTGAGGGTAACTTGATGTCTATAAGTTGTGTCCATGTTTGTAAGTAGACATTTATGGTCTAAGTATAGATAATTTGTCATGGATGTTGATAATGGTTCAAAGAATGATATAACATATACATCAATTTGTGGTCTTACAGATAAAAGGTTTAGCTGATGTAGCGAGTAAGGAGGAGGATGATGGCGGTGGAGGGAAGGAACGTCTCCGTGAGGGCAGTGGGTCCTCCTCTACACCCCCGCCTGCCAAGAGACCCAAACCCTCTCCTGCAGACACTGCCCTTAACTTAGGGCAGGAGTGTCGAGACCAGCGGGCCCCAAGGGACCCTCGTGCAGACATCAGGGATGTACGGGACCTGCCAAACTTCAATATGGTGCCCGGAGGATACCCACGACGACCTGCCTCCCCCCAAGGACCCGCCCTACCCTCTTCAGCCTCCCTCACTCCTGCACGGTCATTCCTCTACTCGTCCTCCCTCATGTCCCGCACCTCCTCCAAGAGTCCAGGCCCAGCCCTGCCAGCGCCGCCCTTCTTCCCAGGTGGGCTGGTACGACCTCGCTCCCCACACCCTCAGTACGACCCTACGGCAGGCTCGAGTCTCCTGCCGCCACGGACCTCCCCACAGTCACCAGCACCAGACACCAAGATGGTTCAACAGCTGGGGTAAGTATCGACAGTTTTACATGTTGAAGTATTATTAAATGTGATTATATAACATGATTAGATGTTAACTCTTTAAACTGCACAAACGCTATATTTTCCGTTCATACTAGCTGGGCCAAGGAAAGGAAAAATAAAGTGAATTATCAACTACATTAACAAAATATGCAGGTATTTTATAGTTATTACTGCACTTAATATAAAAAATTTGCAGCTTACTTTTGAATACAGGCCTTTTTCCAGTTATTGGTTTTATGTAGACAAAATCAAATTATGTGAAACCAGACAGTTCTTCAAGATTCCTCTAATAGAGGTATCTGTCTCTGTGTGTGTGTGTGTTTGTGTCCTCACTGCTGACTAAGGTCGTACTCCTACAGGGTTCCTCCATTTGGGCTGCCCTTCACGCTGCCGCTCCTCCACGACTCCAAGAAGCTGCTGGAGCGTAACCCTCACAAGCTGCCGCCACCGCCCCACTACGATCACCATGACGACAAGGATCGTCCCCTCCCCGTTTGGCCCCCAAGAGGTGCCTCTGACCATGACCTCGAACGGGAACGAGAGAGAGAACGAGAGCGCGAACGAGAGCGAGAACGCGAAAGAGATCGAGAACTGGAAAGGGAGCGAGAGAGAGAAAATCAGAGACTGTCCGAACAAGAGCGGGAGCGGGAACGTGAGCGGGAACGAGAAAGAGAACGTGAACGAGAGATTGAAAAGCAGCAACAGCATCAGGACAACGGGGGAGACAGAGACAACTCCTCCTCTCAAGAGTCTGAACGACGCCATGATGACGAGAAGTCCATCAGTCCTAAAGACAAGGATAACCTTTCACCTTCTGAGGGTTGGTGACGTTGCTTCTTATGTCTTCTCTGGCTATTATTTACCCCCTCCCCCCCCTAAGTTGACCTTATTATCAGTAGCTTCAAACCAGTCCTATATAAATTCCATCTAAGTTAATGACTTAGAATATTTATGAACTCTACTAATGATGAAGAGTTAATTAGAGAATTTATTTAAAAATCTTAATTCAATCTAAATCATTTGCATTTCATGTTAAGGGGTCATTCATAGGTCACTGAGGGGTCAAGTTGGCTTGTGTACAGGTAATGTGCTACAGTATTGACAACAGTTAACAATACAGCTACAATATTGATGGACTTTACTTGTTGTTCGTGGTCAAGTTAGGTTAATTCATTTAACTTGTTCTCTATAGCCATGTTAGAATTACTCCCGGTGCGAGGTTAATAATTTCCCTCCTTATCGCCAGACTTCATCATCAGCAAGACAGAGTTGCTCACCCCGGAGGGAGAGGTGGGTGAGGAAGAGGAAGAGAACGGGGGCAGTGGAGGACGAGACAATGGAACCTCCGATATTACCACCACCTCTAACATACCTCACAACCTCTCCACCTCGTCCTCGGGCAACACCTCCACAGGTAGGAGCATTAGTGAGGGTGAGTCTGGTGCTGTAGCTTGTACTCGTGGTCCTCCTGTCAACCTGTCGAGGATGAGCTTGTGATTGTGCTAGCTAATTGGCCTGATATATATAGTTTGTTTTGACTATAACTGTATGTGTTATTAATCTAGATTGCAAGATTGTTTTCTTTTAAAGACAACAGTTTTATTCCACAAAACGTAAATAATTAGATAATGCTTGCTTTAGTATTTACTTACTGTAAATATACATTTATTTAAATAGTTTTGTTATTGCTTGAGATATATGGTGGTGAGATGTGCATAACTACCTCTGGCATCATATCTTTACTGCTTATGGTAAATATAATCATTATTTTTATAGTTTGTTTTCCAATTGATAAAGACATTATAATGGAATGAAAGCTGTTTTTGTAACTTAATTTTGTTTTCTTTTCTAAGATGAAGATTTTCCTTGCTTCTTGATAATATCCTCCAAACACTGTACACTGTATATATTCTTGCTTCCACTAACTAGTATGCACGTGGTGTAGTGGATGAGCACCAGGTTGTTACTTTGCATGTTGCATGATCTCGGCGAGAAAGAACACCACAGTAAGAGTGACCTGTGCGCATCAGGTCAGGGTACTCAGGCTTCAGTCTAACCTCAGCCCCCGCCCTCACACCCACTTACCTCGCCTCCATGCAAGTGGGCGGCGAGGGTAGTGGGTGGTATGGGTGGGGGTGGCATCTTGACGCACTAGCCATGGGGTGGCTGCTTACTGGTGGTGTTGTTTCTTGCAGAGTGTGTGGTGTGGGGCGAGGGGGACCCAGGAGGGGGGGAACCGTCACCCTTGCTTGAGGCAAGTGAGGAACCCCCCGCACCCCCTGGAGGGTGGGTGTGTTCTACCTGTGGGCGGGGTCACACCTCCCTCATGGAGCTGCGCACGCACTGGTTGGAGCACGCGCGTGGGAGACACATATGTGGAGTGTGTGGGGCGTCGTACTCGGTGCAGAGCTCGCTGGCGCGCCACGTCCGCACCGACCATGCGCAGCGCCGCCGAGTGTTCACCTGCGCCCTCTGCGGATCCACCTTCAAACACAACTTCAGCAGAAACTTACACCTGCGGACCGTTCACAGACTTAACATTCCCAACAATAGGAAAACGGACGCCCCTGACCCTTCCAGCTCATAGCCAGCGGCTGCCCCTTGTAGTGTAGTGTAGTGTACGTAGTGCTGCTCGACTGTTTAGTTCTACTACTGTTGCATTACCTTTATTTCTTTTTTTTTGTAGTTTGCATTTTCTCCCTTATACAGTATATAGTTTTATATCCTCCAAGAAATTTTTTACAAGTTTTATAAATAGTATCATGTTAATTGTGATAAGAACCTGGTTATTACAACAGTTTTAATGGCAACTTTTGTTTCAGTTGAGTTGGTGAAATGTCCATACTGCCCTCGCTCATACCGACACCAGAACAATCTACGGACACACATCCGGTGTTTCCACAAGGGCGTCAGGATCCCCTGCCCCATCTGTCACCGTGGGTTTACTCGCTGGTTCACAGTACGGTGTCACATTGCACGGGAGCATCAGAATGTGGACTTCTCGCGGCCCGAGGCTCTGCCAGCCCAGCTCCGCCGTGCGCTCTACCCACCCTATCCGGAGTAGCGGGCCTCCGTCCCTGTCACCCCGGACTCCTGCCCCACGCCGCCCAAAGTTCCTGGACTGCTAAGCAGGCGGCTCTTCACCGTCCACGTAGACGCCCCTGCCCCTGGTGTACCTGCGCCAGCCCTCCTGCTGACTGCCACAGCCTGGCTACGCACGTGTTTGGCCAGTGGCAGGACAGAGTGCATGGGTCCAGCTGACGTGAGCCTCGGTGTGGCAGTGAGTCTGGGTGCTACTTGGTGCTCTGTGTACAGAACTTGGCCACACAGGCCAAATGGTATCCATGTGTGGGTGGGCGAGCAGTAGACAGCTGATGAAGGACCTGCTGGGTACTCGCCAGCTTCCCCAGTGTTGTAGGTGATGCTAGTGATAGTCAGACTGTTGGACTCGCACGTGGGTTTTTAGCTGTGCTTGTGAAGCACAGCTAAACTGTGTTATGTATGGTCCATGGCCGGTGTTATTGTAGCTTCAAGTGTGCTAATATCATAATCCCAATACCATAGTATAAGCGTGGAGTCGTCAGATGGACCTTGTTAACTGTAGGTTTTATTTGAAATGGTTATATTTTATAGAAGATTAATCACAAATCCAAAAAAGGGATGGTATGTTTCTTCTGTTCATAATCTAGTGAATGATTTCTGGTGTGGGTGCCTTATGCTCAACAAAGCAAGCATGCACAAGATGTTTGTAGATGTACAGTATTATTTTTATAGATGCCAACAATATCCCTCCAGCAAAAACACAAGCGGTCAGAGCCAGGGAGCTGAGGTTCTGTGGGGCCGCACCCTTCACCATGTAGCAGGGACCTGAGGTCCTGTAGGGCCGCACCCTGCACCATATAGTAGAGAGCTGAGGCCCTGCAGGGCTGCACCCTGCACCGTGTGGTAGGGAGCTGAGTCCTGCAGGGCCGCACCCTGCACCATGTAGTAGGGAACTGTGGTCCTGCAGGTCTGCACCCTGCACCGTGTGGTAGAGAGCTGAGGTCCTGCAGGGCAGCACCCTGTAGCGTGTAGCAGGGCGCCTGGCAGGGAGGAGAAAAACACATGCTCCCTCTATTTTCCATCATTCTATTCATGTCTTCAACACAGAATGTTCCACCTGTAATTTAAAGATTTTGTATGGTGTCTACAGTGTTCTGCCTCCCTGCCCTGCATTGCAGAAAACTGCAAGCAACTTAAGAACAAGATGCTCAGGTATCCATGTTGGGTGAAAAACCCATCCTCATCTACCTCATGTTTTGTATCCTTCTAGTTGTTACAGCACCTTGCTAGGTCACTTTAGAGTTTCATTCAAGAATTCACACACCTCACTACGTAGCCATTGTTAGTTTCCTGACTCTATTGGAAAATCTTCCAGGTCAAACGTACAAAACTACATAATTATATTTTGTATGAAGAAATCTGGAATGCTAACAACCACCTTAGTCACTTAGACAAACTGTCTACGACCCCGAGTGGATATAATAGTCTTTGTCAGGATACACAGTGAAATATTTATATAGTGATTCTAGTAGACAAAAACAAATATAATCTGCCGAGACTATACCACTGACAAAAAGTCATAGAATTTTAGTGACATGGCAGTCTCCTGAAAGTTACACAACTCGTTTCAAGTTTTTCAGGGATTATTCTAACCAAAACAAACTCAGGAAGTAAAGACGTGTACTGTATCCAACCCTTTTTGATAACCAAACAGGATTATAATTCTCTATAGCTGCAGTCTATACTCTATGAGGTGTTGTCATTGTTATACTATAGTTCGTATGATCTTTCCATATAGTTTGACTTTGCTCAAATGAAGGACACATGGCCTAACTCATCCAACGACTCCGGTGATAACGGTGCTTCAATGCAGGTGTTTTTCCTCCCTAAGAGACTCTTCATGTTTAAGTTTATGTTAATTATTTTCCTCAGCTGCTGTTCTATGACAGGGCATTATTTATCTCAGGACACAAGAAGCGGTAGTAGTCCAAAACCTCAGAGTTGATACCCTCGGTAAAGCATTTACTTAACTGTAATACGTAATTAGTGTTCAGTTGTTCTTAATCATTTTGCACATTCCAGTGAGGTCACTAGACGTCACATTGATCTCTGGTGAGCCAGGTATAGAGCCAAGCCACAGGTGTTGACGTACTTCTTCCATACACTGTGGAGAAGCTGCCTCACCCGTGGAGATAAGTGCAGGACATCACCAGACTTGATAGGTTCTCTCATTTTCTTATGTACTTTTCATCTACAAGAATTGATGTTTACACAAGTTGTGACGCCATAAACATGTTTCAGAATGTTGTATTTTGGGATTTAACTTTTTTCTTAGTCATGACTAGTTTTGAAAAGGACGACGATTAAATACACTGCAGCTTAAATAGAGAGTCAGAAGTGAAGTGATTGAACTAGGAACGGTAGGAGTGTTGAGTTTCCATGATTGACTCAAGTAAGAGAGTGTGTGTGTGTATGAGAGAGAGAGAGAGAGAGAGAGAGAGAGAGAGAGAGAGGTGAAGCAGGCGACTCAAAGCTACCTCAGTTAGTTTCTCACATTCTCCTCAATGTCTCAGAATATTTCATACAGTTGTTGTCACTTAACTCAGGACTACCGATACAAACTTGTATTTTTTGTGAATGTTTTTTATTTGTGTATGTTGTTGCAATATGTGTGTGTGTTCGTTATTAGTTTGAGTCTTAACTTAGTTCTAGGTGTGACAAAGTTTTGCATAACAATAATGCATACGGCGGTTAGTCAGGAGGATCACACAGAGGCGTGGGTTGGGTCTGTTTATGTTTCTCCCCCTCATGCCCCCACCTGTAGTGTGTGTGTCACCTCTCCCTTAGCTCCCTTACCTGTAGTGTGTGTGGGCGGGCCATTCCCCCCCTAACCTTCTTCACCTCACAATGCCTCGAGGCACATCCATGCATAAAAAAACTTTCGATATATAATGGTGTAGCTCCATGTGGAGTAACAGCACCTTTATTCCCCATCAAAGAAGCCAGTTGAGACCTCAGGATCTACCTCGACGTAATCCCTCTACCTCTGTTGGTCAGTAACATCTGTGTTCCTAACAAACTCCTGCCAGTCCCAGCAGAGAGTAACTTTACAGTACTGTGTATACTTGACAACATGAGATACTGCTGAGCGGAGCACGAGTATCCCTTTGTGTGGTCCTCATAGTGATATATATATATATATATATATATATATATATATATATATATATATATATATATATATATATATATATATATATATATATATATATATATATATATATATATATATATATATATATATATATATATATATATATATATATATATATATATATATATATATATATATATATATATATATATATATATATATATGATTTTACATGTTCCTCATGTTTAGCCAAACGTGTATGTAACTACTAAGCTCCCTGTGCTCTGACCTGTATAGTGTGGTGTCTAACTTCAAGTTGACCAGCAGGAGTAGGCTTGGCTGGGCTCACGTGTGCAGGATCATAGTACTCACCTGTTCTCGCCTCACTCACCTCCTAACTGAAGGAGTTTGTTTAGTGCACTGTTAAGGCCAGTATGTATTATATTGTTGTTTTTTGAGGAGTATGAAACACTGGATCTGCAGTGACAAGAGTGTAACTTAAGTGAGACTCTGATAGTCAAGTGATCGCTGCTCACGTGAGAGCCCTGCCTCACCTGCCTGGCTACAGCTCACATTTACCAGTATACAATAGTCATTTTTCAGTACAAACAAGAGTACTATCTCTGATCTACCTCACATTTTAAGTTCTGAAGGCTTGCATCATATTGTTTACAGATTTATTTTACTATATACCTGTCTGGCATTAAGGGTGGCTGCTTCCATCCAGGAACCTCCTGTAATGTGTGTGTGTGTGTGTGTGTGTGTGTTAGTTACAGTACTGTAAACAATATAGCACCATGTGTGCATATATTATCCTCTACATACTGTCTATTACCTATTGATGTAATCTACAAAGCTTACAAGTGTGTAAGAGCAGATACATGTTAAGGTTGTTGTGGCAGAGGAGGTGGAGGATGGCAGTAGCCCCCTAGGTGGTAGACAGTCCGGTAGCTCTACACTGTCGTATAGATGAGATGTGCTCTCCCTGGGCAGTGAAGCCTGTTCATTGTACTCCCGAGAGCTTGGCAAAGAGATGTGTTGGGACAGAGAGATCTGCCTTGTGACTGTATGGTATAACCCAGTCACTGCCACCAACCTACCCGCCGGGGGTGTCAGCGCTCTGCCTGTCAATAAGGAGCCACTTTCACTCATGGTTTTGACCATGTAAATTTATTAGTGGCCAAGCTGGTGGTGTAACAGCTGTAACACGTACAGCAACCATGTCAAGTAATGCTGTAGCTGGACGGACACAGTGGGTGTTTTGTGCCACACACAACCTGACTGACTGACGCTGAACGTGGACGACAAGTTAACTGATGACGCCCAGCGAATCCCACACTGAGGGATGTAAATTAATATTTGGGTGCGAATGTGTTCAGGGTCGTCCTGGCTAAACCCGAGCTGGAGATGGTACTATTTTAACACATAGTTTACTTATAAATATTGGCAGTAATATGTTTTCAAAACTATTGCCATTAAATTACTTCCACAATGCTTGATGTTTAAAACAACTTAATTCTCAGAGAAATAAATGCTGACACAAGTAATTAAGTGATTCAAAACGAATATGATGTTTGTTAACTGATGTTTAGGGTGTTTGTATCTGTTTACTGTGTGATCGAGAAGATTCTTGAAACAGAGGATAGAATTACTTGGCTCAGTACAGTTGTAAAACAACCTTGATCTGTCTGGTCGACTATTATCAGTTTTAACACAAAAAAAGAATCGGAAATATTTTCTCTTCAGTATGATGTTATCCAACTGGTAAATAACACAGTAGTTAAAATAATATAAAACGTTTTTCTTATGGAGCCGTTTATTTCAGGGAAGATGACGTATCTTACTTTTAAGCTAAAGATGTGGAACATCATGTTTTTTATCAGCTGAGAATGTTGTTCTTTTTTTTCAAAATTTTAGTTCTCTAGATAACTTGTTCATAATGTGAAGAGGTGTTCTCAGTGACAGTGGCTAGTACTGTTTATTATGGACTGGCTTTACTACCTAGCGCCCCAAGGCTTCGGAGCGTCAGTATAAATAGATGTAACTGAAAGGCGAGAGATTATATATTTGTATGAAGTCCGACGCCGCTGGACACATGTGTACCGGTGGCGGTGATGGTGGCTCCTCAGGGGCTGAGTGGTGAGCCAGGGGCGTGGCCTCCTGGCTCCTCTGTTACTGGGTAGCAGGATAATAATGATGACCACGACGGTTATGCTGTCTGCCGCCTGCCCTCTCATAAGAGGTTAGTCAGGATCAAGGAAGAATCTGTGGTGGGCTGTCTAAACAGTACAGTATATCTGGAAGGTGGTACTTAATGGTAGGACCAGGAAAGCCATAGTAGATTAAGGCCTATAGTAGAAACATGTCGGATCCATCACTCGTATTAGAAAAGGATATGTGGTAGGACTAGGGAAGGTTCCTTCACCTTTGTGTGTTGTAAAGAAGAGGTTACATGCTAGGAGTAGATGTAGTCCTTAACCTGTATATGGAGTGAGGTCCTACGACAGGAGATGTTCGGCGGGTGGAGACACATGATAGGAGATCTTTCTATGTTAAGGCTCTCGACAGCGCTTGCTAACAGGGGCGGCTGTCAGTATATCAAGTGATAGTAGATGGAAAAGAATGTGATAGTGACAACTTTGACCATGACAGGTGACTTAAAGTTGACCCGACACCGTGAGTTTACTGAGGTGAGTGGTGGCGGCTATGACCACCCTGGGGCACCCCTCCTTATAAGGGTCGTGACCCGGGGGTGTAATGGTCTGGGATCCTCTCCCTCCTTCACTACCAGGATCGTGGCCCAATTGTATGGTGGCACAGAACTACCCCCCTCCCCTTTCCCTAGGATGATGGTCAAATTGTTTAATGGCCTATGATCCCTATTCCTATCCCCCTGAGGTCGTGCTCCAGTTGTATAATGGCCCAATACCCCTCCTCTCCCTTAGTGTTGTGGCCCAGGTGTATGATGGCCTAGGATCCTCCCAAGGGTCCAGTGTATGATGATCCAGGATCCTTCTTCAGGGTTGTGGCCTTGGGGCCTTCCTCAGGGTCGTGAACCCGGTGTATGGTGGACCAGGGACCTTTCTCAGGGTCGTGGTCCAGGTGTATGGTGGCTCAGGGTCGTAACCCAGGGACCTTTCTCAGGGCCGTGGCCCAGGTGTATGGTCCAGGGACCTTCCTCAGGGACGTGGCCCAGGTGTATGGTGACCTAGGGTTGTGGCCCAGGTGTATAATGGCCCAGGGTCTCCCAGGATCATGGTTTAAGGTCCCCCCGGGGTCATGGTCCAGGAGTACGGTCGACCATACTGAGAGTTGATTCCCTCTCTACACATACTTCTCTCCACCAACAATATATAATATATACAAATATATATATATACATATATTTTTGTGAACTTTCTTCACTCTCTTGCCATTGCATGTAATACATTTCAATCACCCTTTTTTACGAAATGGAAGTAATGAAGATTGTTTTGGAAAGCATCTCTATTGTCACAAACAATTCCCTAGTTTTCTTCGACTGCATTTGATAATCTTGCATAACAAATCCACATTGTAAAGGGTAACTGCACGTTGAGCCAAGTGTTGTGTCGTGGATCAGTGCAGCAGTACAGTATGTGTGCAGTGGGAGTCTGTCTGTCTAATTCAAGCTAATGACTGGCTGACTTTAAGTGGATGATAATTATCAGCTTATCCAAAATAATATCAAATTTAATCTCTAAATATTATGTAAAACTGATATTAAAATCCACTCCATAAACCTAGCCAGTCGAGCATTTGTGTAAAGTTAATCGTGTCTGTCCTTGTGTGTAGCCTTTAAAAGTGGACAGTGTGCTAGACGGAACAATAAACTAGATGTACAGTTGGTTGAGTTTCTCTTACCATACACCAGCTGTGGCTCCTGGCAGCTGGTTCACACGTTCAAGAATCTTATTATCAATCAGCACATGTATAGTATTCTCTCTTCTCCTCCATCCCCCTTTCACACTCCCCCTCCCCCGCTCATAACACTCCCCTCCCTCCCTCCCCCTTTAACCCTCCACCATCCCCCCCCACACCCCTCCTGCCTCCACACTCCTCCTTCCTCCACACCCCTCCTGCCTAC